CGGCATTTTTCGATGTAAAATGTATCTCTATATCATTTATATATCAATCAATTTCAAGTAGCCAGTTGTCAATTGCCTATACGTAGAGAGATTTATCATTATTATTATTATTATTAATATATTTAAAAGTTAATCTAAGTAGAAGACTTAATGGCTTCTTGGATAGTGTCAATGTCAATATCAAAGGCCCCCCTAGATCCGCCCTTGTTATACTAATACAAAAGGGAAAGGACGCCATGAATTAATCACTCTCATTAAACCACCGACGAAGAAGTGTACGTTTTTCTGAACAAGATTTTGAGAATTTGGTTCGTTCAGCCTTGGAAGAATTCGCCAATGGAAACCTGGGTGATGCCGCCTGTGCCCAGCGTTGCCACAGGCTGTTTAAGAAGCTCATGGAGCTCAAGAGGCAGAAGTTTGTGGTTTATTTGTCTACATCACCAGTTCTTGGTTATTCGAGAATAGTAAAGTATGTGTGTTGTAGAGAAATTCTGCAATTTCGTAGTGTGTTTGCTTTGGGACATTTGTAGTTTGTATTTTCAGTTTTGACCAGTGAGGATCGTTTATCGACCGGGGAGGTCTGAATCGAATGTGGACCACTGAGTTCTGATTATTGACCAGGGAGGTCGGCATTGAGGTTGGTTTATTGGAGAAGAGGGGGGCTGGTTAAGTTTGAAGCCAGCTTACCTCGTGTATTTGGGTAGAGCAAGTAACAAGGCATGATTGGTAGCGATATATATGGTGGAAAATTTGGGAAGGCCAGAGTTGCCTTTGCATACCTTAATATTAACAATAGATGGGGCAGAATATTACACGATGACAAGCTCCTCATACCTTGAGTCCGAATAGTTTTTTTTTTTTTTTTTTTTTTCATGTATAAGGTTTTTTAATCAGTTCTCAAATTTGCTGTCATTTGTAGTGCTTGAAGTACTATTTTTGCACTTCAAATTTGTTTGAAGTTGTAAGTTCCAATGCATTTACGATTTTTTTAATGAAGCATAAAAAGAAAAGAAAATGAAAAAAATACCTGTAAACAGTTCAAGTAATAAAATTTTTTTAAACTGCATTCAAACTTTTTATGATAGTGAAATTTTGCGAAAACAAAGTTTTCAAAAACGCCGAACGTCAATTTTCGCAAACTTTCCAGAACCGTCGCTAGGGAGACGACTGTTAGGTAGTGAGAATCTCAAGCAAATCAGGGTTTGCTTTCCTTGCATTTTCCTTTATTTTTGAATTGAAAAATAGGAGAAATCGCAATAAAGTATAATATATTTTGATCAAAACAGTTATTAAAGTTTGAGATTCTGTAATGACTTGTTTTATAGGCATTTCGGAGGTTTTGTATTGATGGTAGTGGAGTTCGGGAGGGGTATTTCATCTTTTACTTGGGGATATGTTAAGAGGGGGGCAGGGAAAAGATACACAAAATGTTAGGARGATGGCTTCTAAAAACTGTACAAGGAAAATCTTAAATCATCATAGCCCCCCATCATCTGCTTAAATTATGAACGCTCCGGTTTAGTAATCCTTTCCAAACACATAATAATTGATACCTGGTAGCAAAACAAGTGCTTGGTTGGATTCTTGCTGAAAAAACTAAGCTGTTGTACTGACTTTGCGTAATGTAAGTAAAATTGCTTAAATTCCCTTATGTTAGCTTTTGCGAGTACAGTGATGCATTTTGTTAAATCAATTTCCTGGCATGATTTTCATTGTTTTTGCAAGTTCTAAACTGGTTTTGAGAGTATTCCATTTAGTCTGCTCTAAATAGCTCATTAGAATATTACAGAACTTGCTACGCTTCTCAGTTGAGTTTGGCGCCACAGAAATTTTGTCACAAAGTTTTGTAGGCTAAATATGCATGTTGTTAGTGGCAACCCTTCACTCAGTTTCCCTTGTTCTTCCAGAGTCTATAACTAACTCACCTCCCTAGGGTACATGTGTTATCTCTGGAAAGTCCTCCTTATTGTTATTCTTAGATTTTTAAGAATATCAATAAAGAGGACTTTGTGGGATCTAAGGCCCCGTCCACGTATCCGGAAATTTTTGTATCCGCAAATTTTTTTTTGCGGATACGAAAATGTTTGCGTCCACACGCAGCGTATTCGAATATTTTTCGAATCGTTTTCACTGTCCAACACGTATTCGGAAATTTCTTGATCCGCCCTGATGCACGCTAGTGCCTAGTCCCTTTGACGGATAGTTTTTCTTATTGAGCATGCGTAAAATCGTGTTTACGTCGGCGTATTCGAAAATTTGCGGATACGACCGTCCACACGTATCCCTATTCGGAGCGTATTCGAAAATTTCCACTCTGGAGACCTTTTTCGAAAATTTCCGGATACGGATACAAAAATTTCCGGACACGTGTGGACGGAACCCGTATCCGGGGCCTAAAGGTCCATGCACCTGACGTGTTGTGCATGCATATTCTATTCTAAAGGACTAGTTTCTAAATGGTTTTATCAAGTTTATTTTTGTTTCCACCAAATAATTGTTTGATAATTTCATACTTGATTGAAACAACAAATCTCAGCAATTGACAATGGTTACCTCAGATGCATTTAATTTTTCAATTAATAATCTCAGCTACTGACAATGGTTGCCTCAGATTCATTTAATTTTCAATTAATAATTGTTTGTAACAACTAGTCATATTGGTTATTATCACCAATAAAAAAAAGTTAAATCAACCAATTTGATATTAGTCAATTTCATGTATCAATTATACAGCTTCTCATTAATCCCATATAGGTAACTGTCCAATTATTTTCTTAATCATATCCTTTTTGTAATCACTGCCAAATCCTACAATCTGATTGGTTCAAAGGAGTGCGATTAATTCCCAAATCGCATCCTTAGGAGCTCTTAATCGCATCCTTTTTAGCTCTTAATCGTATCTTTTTGAAAGAACCAATCACAGAACAGAATTCTTATATTCAGCCAATCAAACAAGTCTTTTCAACGCGTTTGCAAAGTGTTTTTCTCTGTGAATTGGGACATTTTCTCACTTTTTGATAGATTTTATTACGAAAAAGCTAAAAAATTATATTTTTCATGTAGTCATGTAGTCATGTGTATGATTACAAAAAGGACATGATTCAGTGGTAATTGAACTTTGTGTCGTGCAATTTTGGACCAAAATCATACTTGTGATTAACAAATTGCACTCCCGCTACGCGGTCGTGCAATTTTGTAATCACTTGTATGATTTTGGTCCAAATTGCACTCCACTCAGTTCAATTACCATCATTAATTGGACAGGTCTTGTTGATATGAGATTAATTAGGCAGCTATATAATTGATAGGTAATGGGATTTCATGCTCCCCAATCAAGAAATAATTAGACTCGAAAAATTCCTCCGACTGCCAATTTGGACTCGGCCTACGGCCTCATCCAATTTTGTCATTCCTCGGAATTATTTTTTATAATCATTATTATTTCTTAATTATTTCTTAATTGGACAGCATATTAACGGTTATTAGAACCAATTGTACGTTTTATGGTTATTTCTACCATAGATAATAGGTTACCTCAGACTCATATAAGTTTACGTCTGTAGTAATACCAAAATTGTGTGGCTTGCCGGACTAGCCAGAGATGGATGAATTTTTATGTTCAAGGTGTATCCTTTGCTACCGATACCATGGCAACCATCTTATTAAAATTAGATGCATGTGGATATTATGAAAATGTATGATGCTGGTTCTGTTTGCTATAGCTTCCGATTCAAAGAGAGCCGGTTTTAAGCGCCAACGTCTAGTAGCTTATTCGCTGCTATGTCAACTTGACTCGAGTATTTACGAGATACATGTATTCAATATAAACATGCATCCAAGCCTGCACTGCGGTAGACAATGGGTCTACAGTATACTCTTCCTAGATTATATAGCATCAGCATTGTGGAAGTGATTTCCTTGTGGGCATTCAGCTGCTGCTTGGCGTTCCTGAGTAACCTTATAAGCAACATAGAATAATACTAACAAGCTACAAATTACCATTGTGATTATGAAACTCTGGAGAAAGAGGTTGAGGATTTGGTATTTGGCCTTGTCTGTTTTTTCCTTCAATGAAGGCCTAGGTGCATTACTGCTAGATATCGAGGCATCCACCAACTCTGAAACAAGAACAAGTAAAAGAATATATGAATATTGATGTGTTGAACAAGAGGAGAAGAGAAGGGTAGAGAAAATAATATGAAAATAAAATAATGGTTCCATCTTAAGAGACGCTCCTTAAAATCGTTCTGGGAGCCTCAATGGAAACATATTATTAAGAATTAGACTTGAGAATACAAGACAAAATACATCTACCTCTTATAGTAGTTGGTGTGATGCCTATTGACTTTTACCGATTTAATAAAGGTGATGGTGAAGTGAGCATACATCCATTCATTTCGTTTTGTCGTTCATTCGCGATCGTTCAATATATCAATCAATATAACAATCAATAGGCCTTTTGGAACAAACAGTCACGTGCTGATATATGACTTCGATAACGAATCAATTCATCTCAAGGTCCCTTGGGTAAGGCTCTGCTGGATGGAAAACAAACTTTAAAATGCTTCGTATCTTGAAATCGAAAATATCTTAAAAGAGAAAAAAAAATTTTTTGAAAAGGTTTTGGATAGGACATTAGTAATCCAGCAAAAAATCTTTTAATAAACGAAGTCCAAATTTTTTTGCCATCCAGTAACAATCACGTGTCAATCTATTGCAAAAGGCCTATTAGTTCAATATAGCAAYCAATAATATTACTATGATGACATTTTGAAAATTTAATTCTCTACTTTTCCAGGATTTGGGTAGGGGTGTTCCGCAGGGATTCTGAAAGGGGTACCCTTTTTATGACAAAAAAGCTCAAATTTGTAGATATAATTAATTGCACTGAGTTCCTGTTTCAATTATCATGTCATCTCGCGTATCGTTTTTTTACGACTATAATAACCAGTTTCGGTCAAAACGAAAGTAGAAACCCTGAATATGACAGGAAACTCAGGAAGAACTTGGAACTTGAGTGAAWTTGCATACCCTGTTTATGACAAGAAGCTCGARAAACCATACCCTGTTCAGCGGATCATCCCCATATAGTCTATATATGGGAGTACCCCCCCCCCCCCCCCCCCCGGGAAAAATCCGCAATTATTTTGCTGAAGGCTGATCAGACAATGTTGAAACTACCTCGTTTGATATACAAATATAAAATGAAGATATAAAAAGCAGGAAAAAATAAAGCTTGAAGAAGTTTAAAGTAAATTTTAAACATTTCTTCGTAAATCAATACTTTCTGTAACACCAAACCATGAAGCAAAATTAACTCAGAATAAAGTGACAATCAGTATTGTACAGATAAAGGCAGGTATAGTATATATTCAATTGAAGAATTTTTTAATTTGGGACAGCTTTTTGATTGGTTATCCCCCAAGGTGCAAAGCACAATGGGCTATAAGAAAGTAGAGAATAACTCTCTTCTCTTAGACTGAGATGAAAAATTGTCTGGTGGTTCATAGTCCAAGTTGGAAAGGTTCTGCAAGAAGCAAAACAAGAAGCCATTACAAGTCATCAACGTATACGTGAGTTTATGATATATAAATTAAGAACGTTTTCTATCGATAACTCAAAATCTCGGGGTAGAAAGGTAAGATATAGATATTTTAGATTAGAAAAGGATATCCAAAATATAGAAAAAGTTGTGAATTGGGGGAAAAAGTGAGAATTTAGCAACTGAAAACAAGATTCCCTAAAGAATAATTAAACCTTTTGGAATGCGTTGGTTATTTCTTTATTATCTATTTCATTTCCCATTCACCTTGTAATCTTTATTTACCTAATTTACCTATTTATCCATGCATTTATCTATTTATAACCAAGAGAGTATGAGTACTTTATACTCTTTCGTTATAACCTATAGTACTTTGTTACCTAAAGAAGTTACTTATCTATTTACTGGTATACCTATGCACCTAACTGATCTATTTACCCATTGATCTATTTATCTATTTGCGTACGTCGCCACCAAAATAAAACAAAGATAGCGGATAATAAACAGAATTTCGTGAGTTTGTCTGTCATAGGTTAAGGTGATCATTTTTGAACCCATGTCCCTGTTTCAGATTTGTTGAACTACCAAACGACTCCCACATGGCACAAAATTTAGGTATAGATAAAAACGCGCCACCGTGTAATATCTTCTATATATATTTTGTGCAATATCAATATATTTTTTTGTAATAATGATTTTATTATTATTATTATTATTATTATTATTATTATTATTATTATTATTATATGCAGTACTAAAACGTATAGATGAACAAAAATATCTATGGCCTGTATAGGGCGCACAGCGTAACCCATACAGTCTAAAAGGAAACTAACTACAACATATTTAAATAGATGCCCCTATAAAATCATTGTCTTTAAAATGGTTTGAGAAGAAAATGTATATACAATACTTACGATAAATTCTAGCGATAAAAAAACCCTCTATATTCTATAATTCTGTAACAGTATACTAAACAGTATTTTTTAAAGGTCTTAAATCCTAATGAAAATGTATTTTTTTCCTTCTTGTTAAAACTGTTAATCACAAAAAAATTGAACCTAAAAAGTAATAAACKAAGAATACATGGCTATTGGTAACAATCATTAATAATAAGCTAATTTAAAATAATGTGTCTTGAGTTTCGATTTAAAAATATAAAGGGAGGTGCTGATCTAATATCAAATGGTAATGCAATCCAAAGCCTAGGTGCGGCAACGGGTCGCGGTAAAAAGCTGAAACGGAAACAGCGGAAAGCTGAAAGAGCTGAAAAGTGCAGAAATGTCATAAATTCAACCTATTTCTGTACTTGAATTACTTTCATCACTCTTATTACCATGAAAGAGCTGAAAGAGCTTTGATTTTTTCCTTTATATACTATGCCGGGGAAAGCCCAAAAAACAACAACAACAGCAATAAATCTAGCTCAGTCCGAGAAGCGCTTGACAGCTGTCTTCGCAGTAGGCGAGCGACGTTATGTTGACCAATGAGCAGCCCGTTGCTAAGAAAAGGTGCTTGGTCTTCCAGAAAAAGTAACTTGATCAACGTCACAATATGAAGTTGGACTTCTTAGTGGCTATTCAGTATAAAAGAAATATTTTCAAAGCTGACCATTCATCGAGCAGTCCGGCTCTGAAGCTCTTCTAGCCAGGATCAAAATCTGAGCAGCACGATAGAAGGCTTAACAATAAATCTCTGTGCATGGACTTTATTTAATTTTATTTATCTTTTAATACTATGTAGAAATTTTATTTTTTGGTAAAGAGAATGCGTGACATTGACCTTGCTGGTCGGTCCATTGGCTGGTATCTCTGCAGTTAACATTTTTTTCATTTTTTTAATATTTTTGTTTAGTTTGACATTATTTATATTATATCATCTTTCATAATATTTGTCTACTGATTATTATCTATGATAATAAGAAGTTCTGCGCTTTTCTGCACTTTTCAGCTATTTCAGCTATTTCTGCTCTTTCAGCTGTTTCCGCTTTTTACCGAGACCCGTGCGGGAACTTTAAAGGAACAGTCAACCTTATGTAGCAGTTGCTTTAACAAATGTTCTGTTACATGGAGCGAGTACGAGATGGTGGCTTTCTGCATCTTATCCAAAACACACCAACAAGCACCAACAAGCCTTAGTTCTTCATAGTTTGCTCTAGCTCCTTTGACCATCCTCCCAATGCATCAATTATGATATTGCACTGTTGTACCTTGTAACCAGGGTGCTGTTTTTTTTAGTTCCAAGAGTAATGCACCGTACTTGGTTGTCTTCTCCTCGACTTTCTTTTCACGATTGTCAATCCAGGGACAGCTCATTTCTACTGCCCAGACTTGCTTTGCCTTGTGGTCCACGAATCGTACATCCACCCTATTGGCTTTAACATAGGTGTGTTCAGCATACCCCGGTACATCTCAGAAAGCTTTAGCATCATCTGAATCATGAATAGGCTTTGGAGTCACAGGTGAGTACCTAGGGGGAACACTTTCCACTAATTTAAGATCTTTGCACCTCTTGAAGAATAATATCTTCAGAGCAGCATTGTGTCGGTTCAAGTACTTTGATTGAGCCAGTGTAGAACAYCCTGACAGAACGTGCGGAAGGGTCTCTCCTTCTTTACCGCACACAACTTACATCTCCCTGGGTTGTTTTGGTCCTTTGTGACGTATACGCTTTGGTTGGCAATAGTTGTTCATAGCTCCATCATACCAGCAACTGTATGAGTTGGTGTAGTCGTCCAATCTTTCATCCATGCAAAACATGCATCTCGATAAAGTTCTTTATCTTTCCAGCGCGAAGAGAGAAATCAACCATGCCATTTCCCTGCGTTTATCTTCTCCTGTAGCTTACCTACCAGTGCACTCTTCAAGTGTTCTTTAATCTTCGTTCCTTCAATCTCTACTTCTGAACTTCTGGTCGAAGTAAATGATGGATTTGGATACTTTAGAGATAATTTTATCTCCAGCTCCTCTGCATATTTGTGTGCTTCAGTTGTAGCCTCCGCTGGTTTCTCCTCAAACATCTGGGCAGTTCGTGGGGTCTGCATTCTGGTAGAGCTTTACAGCAGCTTTAATCTTTGTAAGCTTGTACTCGTATTCGACGGATCTCAGGCCATGCCCTCCCTTGTGTCTAGGTATAGGTACATAACAGCTGTCGAACTCAGTGGATGTTTCCCTCCGTTCTCATTAATGATCTTTCTTGTTATTATTATTATTTTTAATCATTATTATTATTATTATTATTGTCGTCGTCGTTGTTGTTGTTGTTGTTATTATTATTATTATTGATTCTGATTTTGATTTTGCTGGTCCGAGTCCGGGGTATGCCCAATGTCAATCGATTTAGGGGTATGCCCAATGTCAATCGATTCTTCGTATAGCATTTAAATCTGAATCTCTTCTCCACGTGGTTGTACCACTTTATTTTGAGACACGACTTCACCCTACATTCTCTTGCCAAGACCCTGCAAGCTGCTAAATCTTCCGTTTTTTACGCTGATCTTCCTGGTCTCATTAGCCCGTCCTTCATTACCGGTCACTTCGATCGTCCTGATCTCCTACTCTCTATATAATATATATTTAGGCACTGCCTAAAAGCGGAGCTCTCGATACGAAATTAGGGAGCCAAATTGAATGAATCTGAAAGGTAAAATTAGGATCGGGAAAAATCTTCATTTATTTTTATTCGAGATGAAGATAACGTATCCCATAATAAAAAACATGATTGACATCGAATCAAAATGCACTACATTGTTTTGCGCGATTATACTCTCCCAACTAGGAATTTTGTACACAACTCACCCCCACCCCCAGGGGCTAGTTTTGTTCTTTGAAGATTCTTCGACAAAGTTTTCCATGGATTGCCGACATTTTTAGGCTTTGAATCTCTTTTACTTAAAAAAAAAAACAAAGATAACTACAGACAATCCAACACATTATCAGGTTTAGTAAAATTTACCTTAGATGTCTTTCATTGAAATCGAAATTTTAGAGATTCCCACCACAATGAAAATAAAAAACAAACAAATGCTTTGGTAGCATCAGAGTGAAGATTGGCTGGAGAAATGAAGGCCTTGAACGTTAAAACCAAATGTGTCATCAGTTAAAAAAGCTTTCTTAATATCCTAATACTCAGGGCCGTAGCTTCAAATTTCTGATTGGTCCGGTTTTCGAGGTTTTTGGGTTTTTCTTACATTTTAAAAATATTTTTCGAAACCGGACCAACCGTACCGGTGGCTACGGCCCTGATACTTCATTAAAATTAATTTTATTCCTTTCATATTAGCCTTAGTAATTTAGTTAACTACTTTAAGGTTCGATTTTGCCAGTTTTCATCTGTTTTTTTATGTGTGAGAAAGATACGGAAATCACGAACGACAAAAGTTTTCGAAAAACAAAGTTTATAGAGCGGAGCATCATACTTAAGAAAAAATGGTAAACCATCGAGTTGATTTTTCATGACTTGGTTGACGTCACTTCCGTCCGTACGTGCGTATGGCGTCTGTGTACACAATACAGGAATCCCACTTGATTTCAAAGCAAAACTACTCGCAAATGCGGCTCTCAAATGCACAGAAAAATTAGCTTTGGAACAAATTATAGACCAACAGCAAAAAAAAAAAAAAAAACCAACTTCCATGTAGTCAAAGATGGATCAAGAAGCGTTTTTCAAGAATTCAGGTGGTTTTTTTTATAGCAAACAATGCGTATATTATCATTTTTTATGACAAGCATTTTTTTCGACGAATCGACAAATCAAAGACTTTCTCTCAAAACTTTTAATATTTCTATAGATAAGCTTAAAATATTTTAATGCTGGATGAAATATAACACGAAGAGCATATTACAACAAATATTCGTCCTTTTAAATCATTAACAATTCAGTTGTTCTTAACCAAACAAAAAAAGATGCAGCTTTGTTTGTCTCCTGTCGCGGGTTCCATGGTTGAAACCAGGCCCTCCAGGCCCTCCAGGTATTCCAGTGTACCCTGCCAACAGGGCCTTGTTTTTTCACTTTTAATAACAGTCTTTAATCTTTAATCATGTACTCTTCAACTTTACGCAATGATTTCTTCAATGAAATAATAAACGACAAAAGAAGAAATTGAAAAAGTACTAAAGAACAAAAAGAAATACCAATTCCGATGAGAATCTTGAGGAAAAATCCGAGCATATAATGAACTCTTACAGCCATCCCCAACCACACGCGCCGCTCTAGCGATTGTTTCTGTCGCGACGAAGAAGCTTTTGGTGAACGTCAATCATGGCTTTGATAGGTATCAGACCATAAAGGCCGTCTCAGTAATTTGCTCTAAAAAGCAACCAGTGATATACTATGCAAACCCGAATAAAGACAAGCTGAATGATATTTCTAGGGGAATTCGTAGAAAAAGTTTGCTTATTTGAGTGAGCAAATGAATGTTTTATGAGTGAAATACTGACATAACTTCTTCCGACGGAGATYATTTTCAAGGGCGGACCCAGCCAAAAGTTTAGGGGGGAGCTAATTGAGTTTAGGGGGGGAGGGGGGGCTAATTGAGTTTCTTCCGTCAACACAACGGAAAGCAGTCAAAAACAGCACATAATTTTTCAGTTTTGTTTTGTTTTCTGCTGAGAGGGGGCTTCAGCCCCCCTTTGCCCCCCCCCCCTGGATCCGCCCTTTATTTTCTGTGATTCGAGTTCGAGTTCGAGTTCGAGTTTGAGACCGAGTTCGAGTTAACACCAGTTTACTTCGATTGTTTTGGTTACCGCTAAGAAACACCTTTCAAGTTCATTTTATTTGCCTATGGACTTTTCTTATGAAATACTTTCAAATACGTAAGAAATATTTCGCGATTCTCGATTGACGGCGAAAATAGCACTTTTTTGGTATTGACGTCTGTTTTCTGAATGCAATGATTTCCTGAAAGAAAAATCTTCTCGTTTACAACTTTTATGATGCGCAAACAATGCAACCCAACCAAGGCAACCCAGTATACGCTCTTAGAGCGTATTGTTTAACAAGTCCTGCATGCATTTTTTTACTAGATATTTCCTTTACTGAAAGGAGAGGTTGAGCGATATTTTTATACGTAGGAGAAGTACTTGCTCGACATTTTTTTGAGAATTACGCAATTCTCAATTACCTAATGGTCTGTCCCTTTAGCTTCTCTTGTTAGATCAACCAACTTAGCAAGTGTTTCATTGTTATTATATATCTCAAGGGGTTTTGAGTCGTGTGGTGGCACCCCAAGTATAGAGAGCAGACGTTCTTGTGGGTTTGGGGAAAAACCAGGATTTTTGGGGAACTTTGGAACGAGCGAGCTTTCCAAACAGGAACCCCAAAACCCCGATTCTTCCTCTCAAACCCATCAAAAGAACGCCTGCTCTGCATGCTAAGATTAAATATAAACATACCCTGGTAAAGCGTGACAGTTTACAGCACCTATTGTTTCATATTATCAGGTTTCAAAATGTCTATTTTTATTAAGATGAAAAGCAAGTAAAAGGATATGATACTAACCTGGTTTTCTAGCTGAACAACAAATCTCACATTCAAATTGCTGGTTTTCGCATTCAGAACACGGCAAATAAATTTGCTTTACGTGGTCGAAGAATTTGTCGTCCTTGCACTGTGAGGGAAACGCTTTGACAAATGTCATAAAGATAAGAAAACAAGCCACGAAATACGGAACATGCCTCATTGTTTGCTCTCTATGATCCAGTGAGGACATTAATCTTTGGCTTTTTCTGTTATTCTCTTCACGGTCTTGTGGACTTCAAAAATAGATTTTTGGAATAATCCTACGAAAAACTGGCATAAAACTGGCTGAGTGTCACGCAGTATACGAAAAGTGAGTTGCCGAAAAAATTTCAAGATCTTTCCAGTGAGTCTGAATCCTAAAGACTGGTGTTTACGCACAGCAATATTTTCTTTCCTACTTCTTCAAGATGTGATGTATAAAGATGAAAAGAGAAATCACTTTGATAGCAATTCTTTAAAATCATATAGTTCTTTCAGACTGGTATTAATTTTCTTTTGTATCTCTCAAAAGAATTAAAAGGTTGTGACGTCATATCAGGTGATCCGTGGAGCATGGATCGTACCATAACACAAACACGCGCTGTGCACATGTGGACTGCAGAGACAGCCGAAGCTCTGCGTTTCTATGGGGATCCTTTTTGCTCGTATTATACATATAAAAATTTAAGAATAAGATTTGCACCTAAGTTTGACTTCTTTATCGGTTGGTTTTTATGCCCTGCGGTCAATTTTAGGCGATTCTAAGGATTTTTCTTCATTTTATGAATCTACCGTGGAGAATGAAATGACAAGGTAGGGAGCTGTAACCATTCAAGCTCTCGGGACGTTCTGCTTGAAGTAATTTTTTTTTAAAACATACAAATTCGATCGCAATCTTATTTAACAGGAACACGAAAGAATGGCTCTCCGATACGTTCATACCAGTGAATAAATAAGGACAAGGTTATTGATGATCAAAAGTGTGAAATTTTACGAAGAATGTATGGTGTAGGGTAACTGCTAGTCTTGCTCCAAATCTCGCTATTTTTTCCGTTGCAAACTCGGATTCAAATAGTACACTTCCGGATACGATGAACTCCACAGGACACCGCAGAGCCACGCGCAATATGACTCGATTCCAACTTAGCCTAAAGTTACTATACATTTAGCCACATTAATAGAGTTTTGGTAAACGCCAATCAAAGTATTGTAATATTGTATGTTTTGGGCAACGGGCCACGGGCAACGGGCAACGGGCAATCTTGCCTCCCCGGGCAATCTTGCCTCCCCAAGCAATATGGCGTCGGAAACCGTGAAAGAACATAAATTAATCGGGTATTAAAAACCCGACGACACTAGATTTAAAGCATAGAATCTCGGAAGTGAATCCGAGAATACAAAGTATTCGGACTCGAGCAAGGCGAGAGGGGAAAGGGTTTTTGGTGCGTAAAATGTTATGGAATGCGTAAGAGTGTTTATAGAACATGGGGGTATGGAGGGGAATGAGATGGTACGAGTATTGTAGATTGGAAGAGATATAGGAAATCGGTAACAACGATAACATTACGGGAAATGGAAGAAAATATGAAATTTATTCTCTGCAAAGATTTTTGCATTCTTCGTTTGCACGTGACGTCATAGAGCAAAAAAAATAACAGCTTTAAAAAATTAATTATGAATGCTACAAACTCGCTCGATTCTTCGATATGTTTTAGAGAACTATGATGTGACTTACTGTAGAAAATTTCAGATAGTTTCATCGTTTTGTTTCCGAGTTGTGCGAATCTTATTTTGTGATAAGTAATCCTCACCTTACAGTTACGCTGAATACGTGTCTGAACTCGTGTTGTACGAGTTTATGAATTAGATTCGTACATGGTTGAAGTGAATTTGATGAATTTTTGTCAATAAATATTTTTTTGGAATTTTGGCAGCCATGTTGGATGATACTACAATAYCATCCAGCGAGTTTTCGCCATACATTTACACTAAATTATCGGTAACTTCGTTCGCTCATAGCTCGTTTTAGAAATTCTCTAATTCTCCAATTTTTTGCTCGGCGTTGTATCATAAGTAGCTCTACGGCTCTACATGGTCCATAAGGATTGTTTTTTGATTGGAGCCAAAAAGCACTTTAGCACCAGCAAAATACACGTGGTTGCAAATGAAGAATTGCGAGACATCGTTGCCGTGAGAGTCGCGGGGCATGATACACGCTGAAATTGTGTCTCGTGCTGGCAATGCAACGGAAAATTTTGTAGCGTGTATCGGAGCTGCTGTGTATCGGTAGCTTTACCTGCGTGCTGCGTACCGACAAATAAAAGTTTTTCCGATGGGGTTCCTGTGGGGAACTTTTTGGGGAGGAGGCCTGGTTTCTCAGAGCACATGGTGTGATTCATCATTCTTGTTCGGTCACAAGTCTTATTCTTGATTTTTGGCTATTTCTTTTGGCTTATCAGGATGTATTCACAACTAGATGATGACGAGGTGAGTTTATATTTACTTAATAAGTTCATCTTTTGGGGTTTTTAAATATTTTTCTGTCAGAGATAGGGGATAGATAGTTTATTTAGAGGGGGATAAATTGAATYACCGTAAAAATCTTTGTGAAACTGACGTTTCGGACGTTAGTCGATCCTTCGTCTTTTCACAAAGCTTTTTACGGTGATTCAATTTATCCACGAGTTCCTGCAGTCCACGCTAGTACTATACTAGTTATCACCACTATTTAGAGGGGATGTCAGCAAAAATCGAACATTTCGTGGCAACGGTCGAAAAATCGATTTCACTCATATTCTAACTGTAGGTAGGCCTTAACCTAACTAGAACCACTATGTAGTTTGTTTTAAAGAACATTGATTATTTTTTTAGAAAAAGAAAAAAAGTTGGGGGGGATTCCAGCCTTTTGACGGCCGAAAGTAATTCAGACAAATAAAACCATAATAACGTTATCAATAATTATTGGTATCTAAACTTCTATTAGGGAAATGTTCAGCTATCTCAGTTTCCTTTTTCAAAACGAATAAAAAATTTTTTGACAGTTTAGGGACCAGTCATTTATTAAAGGGGGAGGGGGTGGGCTGGTGCATTTTTATTTCCCATGGCATATTTTCTTGTGGCCCTGTTCTTTCAAATGCATAAAGTAACATGGCCCCAACTAAGACCCAACCTGAGCATAAGAGCCTTGAAACACGTCGATTTCCTTCACTATCTTGCATCTTCACCCCTGATGATAGGTCCAAGATAGGGCGCTAAGTCTAACATCCATACACTTTCGGTTCTACCTACACATGAGTTCATCATACAAACTTGCAAGCAAATTATTTTTCAATACATATCAACACCGCCCCCTCCACTCGTGCCATGGCCATATGCCGCAACCTGGGTTTATTTGTTTTTTGAGCAATAATCTAAAGCAAAAATACCTTAAAAGTCCTAAGTTATTACTGAGATACCTGTGGTATCACGGCCGTAAAATGCCTTTGTTTTTTGTATTTTCTTTTCTGCGCAACAAAATGACAAAGTTGTGCAATACTACCCAGGGGTCTTCCGGAACTTACCCAAGAGACCTTTCCGGGTATCTGCTATAGGGTTCACATCTATAGTCCAATCAATTATCATGTACCAGATGTCAATCAATGTCACTATGTTGTCAAGTGATTGTGAGAGGCTGGAGCTATACTATCTAAATGTAGTTGTATAGTTTTACTGTGCATTGCTGATCGACTCAATTCAAAATGCTCACTTATTTATTTCATCAAAAACATTAATAAATCACAACACAGGGACCCCAAAAGTGTAAATGTCTAAAATTACTTCTCTAGCTACTTTCCAGAAATCACATCACATATTTCAATGTCATGTACTATCTACTTTATCAGTAGTTTTGGAAGCTCAACCAACTAAATACTCCATGTGTGTTGAAACCTCCAGGTACCCCAGTGTACCCTGCCATAGGGTCTTTTGGTGGAGGTCAATCCAGGTGTTTCCATGACATTCTATAGACACGTGCCCTTATAGCTTTGTGTTTTCCAACAATGTTATGGAAACACCTTGTGGTTGGTGTCCACCAAAAGCTTCTTCGTCGCGACAGAAACAATCGCTAGAAGGCGTGTGTGATTGAGAATGGCTGTATCTTTAAATAGTCCATATTTTAATTTTATTTTATAAAACTTACACCTTGCCTTGAAGATATAAAGTTTATCTTCTCGTGTTTCAAATTTATTCACTCATTTGCTGCTTTCACTCATGATATATTTTCAGCAGTCGAAGATAAACTTCCCCAGGGAGGGGGCTACTACCCCAACTTGGGTAGGGGTGTGCAGCCAGGACCTACTGACGTTTGTATTGTTTTTGTGCCGTCAGAAAGCGTAGGCTGTTCACCAGACAAAAACGACCAAATTGTAACCCTATCCCAGACAAAATTGATATCCTATCCCAGACCAAATGTCAGAAAATGATACCCCCCCCCGGGTAATCTTCAGGTATCTTACTGCCACCATTCAATACTCTCTATGTATGTTACAAAAGTCATCTATATTGTATTTTTATCTAGGGAGATATGTACAACCAAGGTGACTATGATGACATACAAGGTTAGTACAGATAAATTACGGTACTTTCGCTACCATGTACTTTCAATACAAGTACTTTCGCTGCCAATTGTGGTACTTTGGCTATGATGTCCAAGTTAGTAAACAGCGTCAAAGATTTGGAAAAGACATTTGTATAGTATTTTAGAGTACATTTTGAGCGACCACTGAAATCAATTGATGATAGCAAAGATCGAATTGCAACCAAACACCTCATTCACTAGCTAACCAGTTCTCAAAGCTTGTATGGGCTTCCTGTGATCTTCCCTCCTATATACCTTTCTTATACGCAGCCAAACTTTTTTCAAGATTAATTTTTTCATGAATTTGATAGGTAGCATCTGATAGTTTGCCGTTTTGCTGTTGTTGTCACACTACAACGTTTGCATCTCGGAAGTACTTGACTCATTTGTATTAACGTTTCTCTCGTTCTTATCGTCTTCATACTTAAATAAACTTTCTTAGAGGTAAAAGATGTGTTTTTAATGAAGATTTTAGTGAGCAGAGCAGAGCTTTTCATGGGGCTTTTATAGAGTATTATAGTACATTTAGTATGTTGAACTGACCATATGTACCAAAACGACCTAAATACTGTGTAACAAAAGAGACATGTACCGAAAAGACTGGTATTCTAGTAATCACTTGTGCCTATAAATTTATGAATTGTACACAAAGGTTAAGGCTCAAGGCTGTATGCATTCCTACTGTATATAAATTACTGTACAAATTCATATTTATTCTCATAAACAAATATATATATCTCCTATCGGGCCGATAAACCCACCTAATGTGTCCTTGAAGTCTCATATTAGACTTGGTAAAGTACAGCCCAGAAACATGTGCACATTGTTTTTCTTCTCTGTCAACTCCATTCATCACGTTTGAAACTCTTTTTAGCCATCATTCTAGAACTTCAAATGCATCCAAATGATAATCTTTCAATTGAAAGGTTTTATGTTGAAGTCAAAGTTTTGCTTGTGTATTGTAGGCGAGCACACTGTGATCCCGATCAAATCGCAAACAACAATGAAGAAAGGCGTAAACAATAATTGCGATCAGATCACGAGCACAAAGTGCAATCACCTCCCAATCACATATACATGTTTCTGTGCTGTACTGTAGCTCAGTGATTAGAGCATGGCACTGGATTTGCCAGGGCACAGCCTGTCCAAATTCTATTCAAGACTCAGAATTTTTTCTGAGTCTTTCAATTTGCAGCTGCATATGTTGCTTCATATAATGCAAGGATCAACTCAATTTGATACATTACAACTGCAGTACAAATATATATTTCATATTATATTCTCATACACACATGTATATTTATGAATGTTAATACAAAATTATGTTTTTTTCTTATAGACATACATGCTATGCCTGTTTACAACATCCCTGAGGAGATCAAAAGATTTATTCAGTTCTTTCATCAGCACATTATCGAGCAGGTAAAAATCAAGTGCATAGACTACATGTAACAGTTTCAGTAAACTTCTACATACAATGTGAGCTATGCTACATGTGTAGGAATACTGTCTTGTTTCCTAACAAAACATCAATCATAAATTATGGTTAATGCTGTCACATGACAAATTTCTGAACATCTAACAACTTCTTTTAAGCAGTAGAAATGGCCTGGTTTTTGATTTTTATGTAACTTTGTGTTTTTCTTTCAGAATCTGCATGAACTTCAGTTAATATATGAAACTGGGTAAGCATGTACAGATTTAGGTGCACTTGGGAAAACAAACAAATTTAATTATATCAAATAAATTAGATGAAATTAGATTTTGACATTACGTTTTGAAAGGGGTAATCCATTCACTGTGAACCCAAAATCTATGAAAAACCTGTGATTTTTTTCATGGGAAATCCATGGTATATTCACTGGTTTTCCATGGTATATTCAGGGGTTTTTAATGGTTTTATGTGATGGTTTTCAGATGAAAAACCCATTACAAAACCATGACTTTCTTGTGAATTTTTAGCAAATTCAGGGCCCATGAAAATCATCTTGAATGAATGTGTGAGGACCCATTAAAAACCCATGAAATATCTCCTGCGCACAGCTGACAGCGATTTCATGAAATTTCCATGGCCCTTTGAAAATTGAAAATTCATGGGCTATTTTCATGGTGGTGTCTAAAATCATGGCCCCTGAATATGGCAAAAATTCTCTACCCATGAAAATAATTGCCAAATTTTCATGTGTTTTTCATGGCCCATGAAAAAATAATGGTTCTATTGCTGGAGCCAACCTAATAATCATGGCCCAGGAATTACATTTTTCCAAACCAACGTTTGCTGCTCACTAATTCATGGGAAATTCATGGCCAGACTCCATGCCATGAATTTTCATTCTGCAAAAATCATGGGCCCTGAAACAGTTTTCATGGGGAACTAATGGGAAATTCATGGCATTTTCATAAATCTGTGATTGGTGACCATACTTTAGGATTTGGGTATCCAATAAAAGTCGTAGTCAGGGTATGTCCACAAGAAAAATAATAATGGAACATCTAGAAATCTATATATCCTTTTTGAACCTTTTCCCTTTTACAGTTAATTTTTTGATGCCAGAATCGGAAAATAATTGACTGAAAACCATTGTGAAATCTGGTTTCTTTTTATTCAACAAACACTGCAAAAAATAGTTGAAGTTTGCAATTTAGTGAACTTTTTACTAATAGTCCATTTTCTCTACTACAAAAATGCATGCTACCCAAACTGTGATCACGTATACATAGTGCACAAAAATCTTATCACAAATCTACCATTGTGAGATGTGCTTTCCAACCAAATTACAATTGGTATGTGAAGGCTGGACGGACAGGTCACATCCTAAATATGACATGCTCATGTACCATAAAATAATGTTGACAGATTTTGTTTTGGTTTCACAGATTTAACAAGTTAACAGAGCGTTATTTTAACAAGTCACCCTGGCCAGAAGCTGAATGCATCGCTGCACTTGTTGATGATGGTACAATACTTTACTTGTACCCAGGGGTAGATTTAGAGGAGAAGGGTTATGAGGCTCTAGACCCATAAATAGGCCATTTCACGGATCCCGTTACTCAACCTCTGCCTCGTCAGAGTGTAATTATTCTTTAGAATTTGACTACAGTCCGCAGTAATGAAAGGAATTTACACATCAACAAACAGTTGAAACACTTAAAAATTTCACAGGTTGTAGGCAATTTCTAAAGAATATATTACACGCTGATGAGGCTGAGATTGAGCCGCAGGATCTGTGAAATGGTCTATTTAGCACTATGCTAATTTAATAATTATTATAATTATTTACTAATAGTTATTGGTATTGGACAGTTGCAAGAGCCAAACAGTACACCTTTTCAGTAAAAGTGCATGTGCTTGATCTATTGCCATTATTATGCTAAATTGGGATAGTCTGTCAACCAATCAGGTTTGAGGAAATTGTAATAGTAATGATTTATGCAACAAAAACACTAGTCTTTTGTATTTTTTAGATCAAGTGTTCCTTATTCTGTACAAGGAGCTTTACTACAGACACATTTACAACAAGCTCAAGGTTAGATTTCACACTATTCTCACACTGCATAAATAATAATTAGAAAAGAATGAACTAATGAGCCATTGATTCTTACAGCTACAATTTTATTTATAAATTTAATTACATTACACTTTTAAGACTAATTATTATAATCATTATAAAGCTTAAAAAGTTTTTATTCTATTTGGTTGAGCTGACTTACAAGGTCCTAAGAGATTGAGTTGATCAGAAATACATTATTTTATTTGGAGAAGAGTAGAGCATTTTCAAAGCATCTGAAAGAGTGTGATTCTCACCCAACATCACACCAAATTGCACCATTTATCATTTTCCACACTAGTTATTTGCATTTTCTGTACAGGCAGATTTCATTGCTTCAATAGTGAATATGAGGATCTGAAACGTGTTAGTTCGTTATCCATTGTTAGTCAAAAATTAACCAGGAATTCTTGAAAATAGTTGCAAGACTCGAAACTATTTTTATTCTAAGAACTAGGCTTTTGATTGGCAGAATCTTGACAATATTCTTGTCCAATCATAGACAAAAATTAGGATGTTTTTGGCAGGAATAACCATAAAAATCTACATTTCAAATATATTATACATAATATATTTAACTCTCTAAAATTGTTAATTAATATTTCACCCTATTCTGTACTATTTCCAAAACATTCTGCACTTTTCCACATTATATTTTTGTGTGCACTCTTTCAGGTGCTCTGAATTTTGAATGGCTAGGAAATGTAGCCATAAAGCAATTCAGTCTACTCTTAATACATGACATGCAGATTGGGGAGGTGTGACCCACTGACCAAYTTAATCAGCTTTAATGTAGTCACATTAATTAGTTTGTTACTGTAGTTTTGATCAATTAGGATTTCACAGCCTTTATTTTCATAGTTTATTAGTAGAATGTGAAATCAGTACTAGCTACTGCAGCTGTAAATAGTAGATAGTGTCACAATATTCTGGTAGAATTCTGGAAGAACATTGTGACACTACTGTCCGCTGCAATGTGTATTGTATTGTTTTTCAACCCAGAATTATTATATTACTATTTGCAATCTCTTACGGTAACTAACAAGCAAACCTCTATTTTTTAGCCAACTCTAGAGCAAAGATTTGAATCATATTTCAACTACTGTGATCTGTTTAACTATATTTTGAGTAAGTACTCAAATCACTGTGTAAAATGTGCGTTTTATGTGGCTTTAGCTTGATTACCATAATTGTTACCACAAATCTTTAAAGATTTAGAACACGCAATAATTTTTTTAAAAATAAATGCAAAATTACATATTGATAGGTTTTACCAAATCTATTAAGCATTGGCTTTTAGGCTCACCGCATTGGGACAATCACAACAGAGCTAGGCTAGTTGAAAGCCCAAGATCGAATTGGAATTTTGAAATTAAATTTCTTAAAAGAAGGGAAGAAAATCAGAGAACCCAGAGAAAAACTCTCAAGGCACAGGAGAGAACTAACAAACAACTCATACAAGACTTGAACCCAGATTGCATCCCACTTTCTTGTTCTTGATGAATCTATTCGTACAGTATTGACTAATTAAATGACCCAGCAGCATTTATTTAAAACTGGACCTTATTGATCCTGCTTTTATTTATTTCTAACCCAGCATATATTTAGTACATATCATACCTGATGGCGGTTTTTACAAACAAACTTATGTTGTAGCAATGGGTATCAAAATGGGACCTAGTTATGCTTATTCTTATTTACTCTATTCATCTTCTCACCCAAAACACACTCTCGACTCTATTCCTTTTTCACAGTTTTTACGCTTATGTCGCCATTGCAGCATTGACACTGATTTTTCCAACAGATGTCTAGAGTTACGTTCCTTTTTCTTAAGCATGGCTGTCCTTTAGCTGTCATAAACCGTGCCATGCATAAAGCATCTTCTACTGATCGGAATACTGCTGCTCTCCACTCCTAAGCCTCGTACTACCAACCTAGATCGCATTCCTTTCACTCTTACATTTCATCCTGTTAACAATTTGATTAAACCCATCATTAATCAAAATTTTAATTTACTTCATTCGGACTCTACTACTGTTAACATTTTAATCTTGATGTAATGTTTTATTATACTATAGTCAATTTTTCTAAAACGTTCGTGTTGATAGTTGTTATTACATATATTTTATACTTTTAAATTTGTAAATATTAGTAGCTTTATATTGATGGCCACGAGTTTATTAGTGTAGTACACTATTTAGTGCCACCCACATTAAATAAATTTGTTATTATTATTATTATTCCTCAAGATAATATTGTTTCTTTTGCATTTCTTTTAGATACTAATGAACCAGTCCCACTAACTCTGCCTAACCAGTGGCTGTGGGATATCATTGATGAGTTTATCTATCAGGTACGGTAATATATGTCAAATACACCTCAGTCTTTTCATAAGGGTGCTATAGCTTTACTTTAGGATAAAATTGAAGTATGCCAATAAAAGATGTCTGACCACGAAAAGTGCTTGAAATACAAGTGTCTTTCAAGTTCTTGATATGGCTTCTCAGGCTATAATAATTATTATCRCAGGCTTCCCAGACTCTCAGTTTGTGGATTGGGTGATGGGCTTCCTGTGGCTCGAAGTAGGTAATTTTGAACTACAAACCAGAGTTTGAAAAAGCATAGGATTATTTTTTCCAGTACATTTGTCAGAGTTTGAGGAGTGTAGGATAGTTTTTTGCTGCAGAATTCGAGAATGTGAGTGGATTGTAGTCCAGGTGGCCTCTAGATGCCAGGCTTGTGTAATTTAACAGCACAAGTTGTGAGGTTTGGCCATCCAAATAAACAGCTTGAAGACAGCATAAAATGCATCAGACCCAAAAAATTAGCCACATTTTAGACSATTGTAAGTATTAAACTTTATCTTGTAACAGTATTTTTWAAAAACAGAAGGAAAAGCTCATTAAAAACTACCTACTTCAAGTAAATTAAACGGCAGGTAGCCCACTATTAGTTGCCTATTAGTGCTGATTTATAAGCAAAATACAGTACAAAATAAAATTCCAAAATTCATACAAATACCTTACCTTGTTTCCTTTTGGGTCTCTGCGAAGTTTCGAGCCATTTGCATCAATATTGAGCAAGTATCATAGTGCAGTATCCCACATACTTAAAATGCCACAGGAAACCCATTATCCAATCCATGAACTAAGAGTCTGGGAAGCCTGTGTCATAAATTGGAGAAATTTTGTTTTGTCCTTATGAATTAAGAATAAGTTTGAGAAGTGGCGAGGAAGCCATGGAAGTCTTGAATACACCTTTTTAGTCTACC